GGCAAGTATTAACAAGAATAAAAGAAAGAAATTATAAAAAAGTAATGAAAATTATTTAAGAAAATGGTGGAAGTAGCAGTTTGTTGTTCCATTAAGTGAGCCCTTATATATAACAGGCTTAGGTCAGAGTGTTGACAATATTAAAATCCAAAGACCTTATCATTATATAGCACATAGTCTTTCTGTTTATGATTTTGTGGTAGAGTTTATTATGTTTAACTGCCAAATTAAACTCATTAAAGTATTAAATTGTACAAACCCTGGATTCAGTAACAGACCTTTTGCCTCTCTACTCCCTCTGGTTTAAAATGATCCCAGACCAGCTGGCCCGATAAACATTTTACTGCCATTACATCACAGGATTTCTGCGTGTCCAGGTTCATGTTTCTTGCCCCTTGCTGTCATCTGCAGACATCAACATGTGGAGTTGCCTGGTGTGGCTTTAAATGGTAAAGATAGCAGGAGACTCATATTTCCATGCACTCTCTCACATGACACACTAGCATCAGTCATTTTGTTATGCTGTGCATGAAATCAGAGGATACAGATGGTCATCAAATGCATTTCTCTGCAGAAGAACAAAGGCCAGCACACAGCCTGCCGTGGCGTAGCTGCATACAGCGTGTGTGTGTGTGTGTGTGTGTGTGTGTGTGTGTGTGTGTGTGTGTGTGTGTGTGTGTGTGTGTGTGTGTGTGTGTGTGTGTGTGTGTGTGTGTGTGTGTGTGTGTGTGTGTGTGTGTGTGTGTGTGTGTGTGTGTGTGTGTGTGTGTGTGTGTGTGTGTGTGTGTGTGTGTGTGTGTGTGTGTGTGGTCTAGCATTACTATGCTTGTGGGGACCTAAATCTGTTTACATAGTCACGTGTGGGGACTGGCTTCCCTTATGGGGACAAATTGGAGGTCCCCATAAGGGGAATCATTAATTTTAGGGTGAAGACTTGGTTAGGTTTAGGATTAGGGTTAGGGTAAGGTTAAGGGTAAGGGTTAGGGTTAGGCATGTGTTGGTTAAGGTTAGGATAAGTCTCCATGAAATGCATGTAAGTCAATGTAATGTCCCCTGAAGTGATGTATACATGGCGTGTGTGTGTGTGTGTGTGTGTGTGTGTGTGTGTGTGTGTGTGTGTGTGTGTGTGTGTGTGTGTGTGTGTGTGTGTGTGTGTGTGTGTGTGTGTGTGTGTGTGTGTGTGTGTGTGTGTGTGTGTGTGTGTGTGTGTGTGTGTGTGTGTGTGTGTGTGTGTGTGTGTGTGTGTGTGTGTGTGTGTGTGTGTGTGTGTGAAGTCATGTTTAAAGTCACATCTGCTGATGGTTAGGATGCCGCTCTCGCTCTCACACTCCTGCTGTTCCTGCTGTACCCGGCACCCGATGAGGTCATCACTCGTCGCTCGATTGCCAATTTATCAGAGGGGAGTCCAGTCCATCCCCCATGTCCGTATTTGCATGCTTTTTAAGAGCTTCCAGGGTCTACTGTCTTAATAGCATCCTGCTTTGATAATAGAGTAAAAAAGGCAGCAGAGGTACAGCGCTTAAAGTCCATTCCCATGTACAGCTCTTACCTTAGGATGTAACTTTCCAGAACCCCGTAAAAGGAAATGATTACATCGGGCGAAAATGCATGAAACAATGATGCATCGGTGCGAGAGAAATGAAAGCCTGCTGTGACGTGGTGCCTCTAATATGATACATGCCCAAACTCAAAACACTCTTCAGTCAAAGTTATTTCTGGGTTAGCAGTTTTTCTAGCCCTCTGTAATAATGTTTTGGAAGGAGAGCAGAGCAGAGCAGGATCGCTGAACAAACTGGGTTTTGTGCTCGAGCGACGGGCTTTAGAGGATCAGTGGACTGTTATACAGAAATAAAAGGTTTTATTTTTCTGATCAGCACTGGACCTTTCAACAGCAGAGTTTATCCCTAATTGTATTGGCTGCTTGTAATGTTGGAGATCAGTGAACAAAGTGAAGGCTGATAACATTGTTTTGATAACCAATTATGTACAAACCCTGAAGAAATAAAACCCAAGTTCTAATATAGGTCCATCAAACTAAACTGCTCAGTTCATATTATGAATGCTGTTGGCCTCTCATTTATGAAGCCCCACATGTACTCTAACTCATGTGCATAGTACCGTACCATGTTATAACTCATTATCTGTGTAGCGGCACTAAAAAATCTAATGTCTCATGTGAGGATTGTCTAGGAAAACAACTCCAGGAGGGAATGAGGTACAGTAAGAGGAGACACGTTTACCTAATAACTTAACACATGACACACACTCCCATTGAGAGTACACAAGCTGCGTCCAATCTCAGGACAGATGAACACAGCAGATGCTAACACACATTTTGACTCAATTCTATACATGTACTCAGGCTGGAGTCTTTGGCGCACCCGACACTAAACATATACACCATCATCAACTATTTCCATGGTAATCTGGCATCATGTTGAACATGCAGTGTGATTGATGCTTCTCGAGCCATTAGGTTAGTTTTTCTTCTTCTTTTTTTGGCCTGCTCTCAGTCGTATAAATCTTTTCGCCTTTTCTCACGCAGTAATTAGCCCGATCCTTGACAGAGAGGCCTATTTTTCATGGCAGCCTGTCCTTCCTGACATGCTTGGTGACAAAGCGCAGACCGTCGTCAAACTGTCCTCCGGTCCAACTCAAACACTCTGCTACGGCTGAAGTGGAATGATGTGACCGTCCCAAATAGGTCACGGGCCGACGTCCAGCTGTGTTTCTTTTGTGAGATGATTTGCTGAGGCCGCATTTGTGTGTGTGTGTGTGTGTGTGTGTGTGGTTTTACGGCTGTGAGTGTGCCCCTTTGAGTCGTAGGTGAGGTTTTGGGTTAGTGCACATACCCTGTGTGTGTGTGTGTATGATATGTGATATTGCTGAGGAAGCAGTAAACATAGCACAGCCCAGTGACGGCTCTCTTGTTTGACATTTACAGAAGAAACCAGTCGGACATGTTTCCACATTAGGTCTTAGCTGGCAATGTTAAACAGCTCCGTCCCAGACTTATCTCACATTACGCTATTTAATGGATCACAGTTCCACCATTAGAGCCGTTACGACAACATGCCTGTACAGTCAGAAAAAATACTTGTAATGTCTCGTAATCCAGTGTGAGGTTGGATATTTAACACAAGCGCAGTACAATGTCTGCTTACATCACACAGATGAAATTACAGCTAACAGACACAACATGCTGTAATATGTTATCAAGGCCTCTCAATGACGTTTTGTAATTCATAGCACTTGATAGAATAAGTGCTACCAGGAATTCTGGTACGGTACAAACATTCTAGCAGTGATTAAAGATGACAATCTAACAATTCAGATGTTTTGCAGGTATAATATATCAGATTGGGAGGATGATGTTTCCAGGTAATAAGTAATGTGACAATTTGAGATTTTGTAGCTATATGAAGAGTCAACCATCGCCAACATGACTCTGCTGTTCTCCCCCTGTTCAATCTGATGACACGTACCAACACTTTTTAAATGTGTTGGATAAGGGCTACATTTTAAACACCATATTGACTATAACAAAGACATTTCAATCTACACTGGTCTTTCTGTACAGGCTAAAGTCTGTTTTCCATGTCATCAAGAAAACTCTTAGTTGCTAGTCGTTCCTGATGTATTTTGGTGATACTATTTAAAAGTTTGCTTCACCTTGTCCAGGCTTGACCCCCTGTATCAGCCCTGAGGTATGTCACTCATTTGAGCTTCAGGACTTATACAGCATGGTAGTCACAATCTTCAGTTGCACAAATGGTTTCCGTTTAAAGTGCTTTCTATTGGTAAAACAAACCTGTTTCACTACAACAATTGTCCTGGAATCTCCCCCGTATCTCTTCACATACTGTATATCCTCAGTGCTACCATAAAACAAAGCTGTAAAGTTAAAGCTTATTTGTGTATCCAAGCTCAAACCAAAATGATCTGTGAACAAACTCTTGCCCCTCTCTCTCGACTCTCAGTCCCTGGACCCTCTCCAGAAAGAAAAAAAACGTTGGTGTGCTACAGCACATCAATAAACAGTGATAATAAAAGTTAAGTACCTATAATGGAATTCTTTTGTTTTTGTTTCCCCTGTAATCCTGAAGAACAATTTGATTTAATGCTAGCATTACATAGGATTGGAAGGAGGACTCTAACAACTCCTTTACTAGCGGACAAGCTAATTATGAGCAATGCGCTTAAGCTTATTTAAGGCCACTATTCTTATCCTTCATCTCATTGTCATAGAAAAAGACAAACATTTGATCGCTCTTCTCCTCTAAATGCTGAAATGACTCTAGATGCCGTCCAACATGCGCGCGTTGACATTGATTCCTAAAGACACTTGTACTGTACGGACAGCAGAGATGACAGATAGTCCTAAAATAGGAAAGCCGCATCAGTCGTACATTTGGCTTCACTTAGATACTGCATTTAGGGGCTGAACTCATGCATGTGTGGTGATGACATGAATGTCACTTGATATAGTTTAAGGCTTTTTATGTTCTGCCTGTTAGATCTTAATGGATCAGGCAATCTAATTAAGGTCCGAAATGTGTTATAACCTCTCGTTGTGGAATGTCTAGTCCCATCCGATAATACTTCATGCGACACTTGCTTAGTAGTCAGAAGTTAAAACTGCTGCAACTTAGTATAACATCCACTTGAGTATCCCATAATATGTCATTCGTATGTTGTTTCTTTGTAGTCATAATTTAAATAAAACTCTACCGATGTCAGGAAGAACATTCTGACAAGGCTTTGAAAAACAGGAATCAAAATGGCCTAATGGTCATTGGCACCCTATTTCTTGAGGTTGATGGAAGAATGTAGTTGGGCATCCAAAATCAGCATTTGAGATGTGATGTTATTAGTAATTGCATTTAGATCACATGTCACCAAAAATATCTCCAAGGAAGCCAACTTAAATACATTTTGACACTGCAGGGTTGAAGAAACAATTGAGCTAATAGTTTGCTCGTGGTGATTGATTCACTGACCTCTCGCGCTCCTGCTCCAGCAGGTTGGTGAACTCATCGCTCTTCTTCATGAACTCTCCGTGGTTCCTCTTCTCGTCCTCCAGCTTGAACAGGGCCTGTTTGTGCGACTGCTCCACCATCAGGAGCTGCTCCAACATCCGCCGGTGCGTTTCCCTCTGCTTCTCTACTAGCTTGTCTAGCTGTGGGGGGGGAAGCACATAGAAGACACCTGTCATGGAGCTTATTTCAGACCCATATATGCGGTCGCTAATTCTGATTGAGAGTTGCTGTTACCTCTATCATTGGCTTCTCGTAGATGTCCTCTTGGAACATTTCAGCCTTGCCTTGGATGGCGTCTCTTTGCAGGGACTGCAGGACTGTTGGCGGTGCGACAAAGCCATATTTGGCCTCCAGCAGTGCAAAGTCCATTTTCTCTGCCCGCAGAACCGTGATCACCTCATCTCTGGCCTGTAGTCGGGGAAGAAGGTGGATTTGGTTAGATTTAACTTTATGAAGCAGACTTCCAATATGCAGCAGCAGAACAGCAAGAGACGGTTCTATTCTTAACAAATGATGGTTAAAATAACTTCAGGCTTACGTTTTAGTGAGGGACATTTACTCATGAACTTCTTAAGTGTCTTTAAGATTAAATAAAAAAATCCCACAAATAGGGCAAAACTAAGCAAGCTGAAGGCAGGCCCACAGATTCAGACTTAAAAATCACCTCCAATAGATGCTTCTATCTTTGTTGACTTTGATTCTTTGTATGTAGCTTCTAAAGCCTCAGCCCGTAATGCAGACTTAGCCTTGTTCCTATCATACAAACAGTGCCAGCAGATTCCTGGATCCAGGGCTGGAATGACAGGAAGTAGCCTCAGCTGTTGCCTGTAACACAGTCCATCTTTAGGGCCCACTGACCCATTGTTTCTGACTATATGTCCAACTGGGGCCTTTGCCATGTCTGCTGGACCGACTAATTGTTCTAAGGCTCACTCATACACTTTGGATTACCTGCAGCTCTCCCTCTAGCAAGCTCAGAAGAAAGACAAGGTCATCTCGGGAAAGGTCCCTGGTCTTCTCCTTCCGAGCTCCCTTTGCAGCACCGCTACTCCCACTCCCACTACTACTTCCATTTCCACTCCCACCGGCACAGGGGCTGTTCTTGGCCGTTTTGTGATTCCTCTGAATGGTGCCGGTGTCATCCGGCGGCTCCCGGTGTCTGCTGCGGCGCTCGGCCCTTCCTGAGGGCACCTCTCGCTCTACAGACCCCTTGCGGGAGTCTGATTTTTCCTGCTCCGGATTGGCCTTGGTCACGTCCTCCAGACTGTTGCTGCGGGACCGCATGTTCCTCTACCTGTTGAAGAGATAAGGAATATTTAACATCATTATTATTATTAGTTTTGCCCTGGAGGCTATATTTTCGGCTGTACTCACAGGCAACACAACAAACAGAATACAAAATGTGCCAATTTGAATCCATGACCTTTACTTGAAGGGCTTTAAAGAAACAAAACACTCTCAGATGCTCTTACATGTGTAATCAATCTTTGAGGTTTGTTGGGTTCCAGGAGTTACTTTGTGCCTGATGAGATGTTTTAATTGACATTTTCTGGCCAGAGGATTTTGGCATTAGTAGACATGGATCCCACTTTCACTTAATCAGCTCCAACCATTGTGAGCATAAAATGTTCGGTACATTACCAAAGGCAGCAGAAATCTTTGAGTCTTTCCAATCTTTCAACGTCTTTGGAGGCTGTGCATGTCTCGACATAACTTTTGTTTCTCACATGTCATACTGTGCATTTGGATCTCGTCACACTTTTCCAAACAACTGATCTTTCATCATGATCCGTAAACGAAACCTACGTGTCACATTCAGACCCACGTTAGTCATTGGCTCAGCGCAACATGTCGTCATAGCCTTCCATGTTATTATTAGTCACTCAGCAGAATAGAGTCATCATCACCCGGTCGTACCGCCGGCCACAAAGCGCGGTTATAGCGCACATGTTCAGACAGTTCCAAGGCTTTTTGGATCTGGACCTTCAGTGCTTTGACCGCCATTCACGGCTAATTCATTTTCCTCTGACGTTAAATGACTAGAAAAAGGCGGCCAAAATCAGTCCTGCCAGAGGATATAGCCACTCGAGCGCTGTGGTCTTTTTGTGTACTTTCTTTGTCTTTACTACAGATGATGATAGGTGGTCTGATGGCGTAACATCTGAGGAGATGACGTACGAATAAAAAAGCATCATGGCTACCTACCAAGGTCTGTTTGTAGTGAACAGTGTGTTCTTGTGACATCTGGTTTATGAATGGGCCATTTAGTGACTCACTGACTATGATAGATGGAACTATGATAAATAGATGTATGCTGTAAACTGCAGCCCTACATGCCAAACAACTGTAAGCCCGTAATGTATTTATTTTTCAGCATTATGCTCAGCTTAAGTAAATATACCCAAAAGACAAAGCAGCACTAGAATGAAAACGTGCTGAAACTCATTTTGTGTGTGTTTGATGTGAGAGAGAATAATCTGCCCAAAGGCATTACATCACCTTCTACCCAGCGCGGCTCATATCAAAATGTTTCCAAGTAACTGAGCTCGGGAGTTCCTGTTTCGGCTTAAGATGGTATTTCACAACAGTGTGCTACTAACTGACTTTTATTTAGTCATTTGTATCCATTAGGCAACACAACATACTAATATTTGAAGTGTGCTTCTGGTAATGAATGATAAAGTTCTCCTCCTGGTATCTTGTGACGAAGCAATTGACTTGTACTTGAATGAAAAAAAGGTATCAGCTACAAATTAAATTAAATCAATTGATATATCAGTTTAATCAAATACATTACTATGTGTAAAGTATATGTATGCATGTATTTAGATGATCATTTGTTAGTGATAACATTCCAGTAATAGAATATAGTGAATAACATATCTGTGATAGGGTCCTGCTCACATACTTGCCAAGGATCATTTGAATACTTAGTATATATTTTTCTGTATACTATCAAGACAGTGTACTACCTTATTGTTACTTTGGTAGACTTCCTGTTGCACAATGTAATGTTTGTTTACTATAATATTGCTGTAAAAGTACAAATATGGAGACTTATTCCACCTTGCAATTATAGCCACTAATTAAACCTAAACCAAGTTATCTTTACAGATCCATCCAGCATTCACCTTTTCCGTCTCGCAAATGAAACAAACAAAAACATATGTTATAATTGTATATATTTCAAACTTGGTCCAAAGTTGCCACAGACCAAAATCACACCACTCCAACTGAATACGCCTAAATGCGCCTTTTATGCAACGTGTTTCTGTGTGTGTCCACCCTCTGTGTGAGGCCCTCTGACAGTTAATGAGGAAGAAAGATGGCGAGATGATTGCATTGTGCACACTCTCGGCAAGGCGCCACATGATTCAGAGCTGAGGTAATTCCCTGCAGTCTAAGACAGACTCCACATCGACTTACTCAGAGATCTGGGCTACAGGCACTCACTGTGTGTGTTTGTACAGATATACGCAGTGTGTGTTTGTACAGATATACGTAGTGTCCATGCAAACCGTTCTTGCCCAGTATGTTAAGTTTACAGAACAGTTTGTAACCTTACCCCGTGTGTGTCATTACAACAGAATGTAACCTTTCTAAAGCACTAGATACATAATGAACTCAACTTTCACTCACTCCTGCACAACTGCAGCTTGAAATGTACTATCTATTATGCAACACACACAAAGTCTGCAGATTTGAGCAGAGAATGCACAACCAATCCAAAGGTCACAGACATGTAACGCGGTCCCGCTGGGATTCCTACATATGCAAGTATCACGTATCTGCAAAATCTCCAAGATGGATCAGAAATATATCACATAGTTCATGAAAAGGTTCACTGAGGGGCCAGGAGAATAGCTTCGTATTGGATCTTATATATCTCCAAATCGCTCCCTCACTGTCGAGGTGGGAGTCGAATAAATGAGTTTTGAGATCAGTGTTATATATCTGGCGCGCGATGATCCTGAAACTTGGAGGAAAGCGGTCAAAATTGGAAACACTGGAATGGTGAGCAAGCGTGCAACAATGCTGGCCAGAGCTCTACTGCCTTGTGTACATGAACTGATGTGAGAACATGTGTTGAATTGTAGTTACATAGCATGAAACACCTTTCTTCCATTATCCAAGTATCTACTTGGCCTTTAAGATTTGAATGAGATCAAGACAAAGCCAAAATATACTAACATCATTAACATAATGAGCTTTTACTATCAAGGTTTATATCTAAAATAAACAGTTTGAACGTGAGAAAAACAGTTTGCACTTAAGTGGATTGACCTTAAGTAGATATGATAAAACTCATCCGTGACACCAGCATAACAGTCCAAATTTAAATAAACACAAGGTGTGAATTTGGAAAGCGGTGCCAAATGAAAGCGCGGCATAATAAAGTCACTGTTTGGAATTTTCCTCTGGGTCTTGCTTTGCCGAAGAAGGCAAAAACACTGGCTCTTAAAATGTTTGTGTGCGCTGCGTTCGCACATATTTTCTCCATGACAGTGCTGTTGTCTGTGTCGTCAGCTCGGAGAAGGTGTGAAGACTAAACTGCAAACACACACCGTTAATTGGCCGCCATCTGTTGCTCGGATCCTTGGATAACCCTGTGAGAGCCTTTTAGGGCCCATTTAGCACATTTGAAATGTTCATGGTAGGGAATACATATATTTCTCTGATGATGTCTTTGGATAGATTTGTGAGTGAACAGGTAAAGCAGTTTGTATGTAAAAATGACATCCTGTCTAAACATCAGTCAGGCTTCAGAAAGCAACATAGCACCATCACTGCCACAATGAAAGTGGTGAATGATATTGCTAATATCTTAGACAAAAAGCAGAGTTGTGCAGCTGTTTATTGATCTTTCCAAAGCGTTCGATACCGTCGATCATCAAATCCTGAAGCAGAGGCTGGCCAGTATCGGCATATCCAGCCATGCAGTGGGGTGGTTTGTGAACTGAAAGGTCCCAATGTGTTCAGTTTGATGAGCTGTCTTCTTGAGTGGTTAAACATTACAAATGGTGTACCACAAGGTTCTGTTTTAGGTCCACTATTATTCTCCATCTACATCAACAGCTTAGGTCAAAATGTGGATGGAGCAACTACATTTTTATGTGGACGATACCGTGATGTATTGTGCAGGTCCCTCCATTAAGGAGGCTGTTGTTAAATTGCAGGCTGTTTTTAACATTATCCAGACACAGCTCGCGGAGCTTAAGCTTATTTTAAATGTTGATAAAACCAAGGTAATGGTATTTTCAAAAGACACCGGAGACCACTTTGGATATTGTTACTACGCAAGTACTTGAAGTGGTTGCCTGTTATGAACACCTTGGTATCTGGCTTGATGATTGCCTCTCTTTTAAATGTCAGGTCAATAATCTGCTTTGAAAGCTGAGGGGGAAGCTAGGTTTCTTTTTCAGAAACAAGTCCTGTTTCTCACTTGAGGCCAGGAAAAGGCTCTGTGACCTTTTGACCTGTGCTGGACTATGGTGATCTGATCTATATGAATGCACCTGTCCATTACCTGATCAAGTTAGATGCCGCCTATCACAGTGCTCTGAGATTTGTTACTAACTGTAAAGCACTTACTCATCACTGTACCCTGTATGCCAAGGCAGGTTTGCCTTCACTAACTGTACGGAGGCTCAGTCATTGGTACATGTTCATATACAAAGCCATGCTGGGTAAACTACCTTCTTACATCTGCTCTCTGATCACACAGAGAGTTGCAAGTAGCTATTGCCTGAGATCTCATGATGTGGTTTTATTACATGTGCCAAGTGCTAGGCCTGTCTTAGGGACGAAAGCTTTTAGGTGCGCAGCTCCACTAACTTGGAACAGTCTGCAAAAAGAATGGAAACTGAGCAATTTGGTTCCACTGCCTGTTTTTAAAGCTCGGATAGATGCTATGCAATCTGATTCTGTTGGTACCTGTAAATATCGTTAGGTATGCACATTGTAAATCCCTGTATCTGTGTTGTATGATGTCCTTTTTGTTTTTCTGTTTTCTGTGTTTATGTCTTCATGTGGAACCTACTTGCAGCAGGTCTCCCTTGAAAAAGAGATCGATGATCTCAATGGGATTCACCTGGTTAAATAAAGGTTTGAAATGAAAATGAAATAGATTTGTATTGTTCTGCTCCTGAAGTCACAATATTATCCAACACTTATCATGTTGGTTCCTGTGCTTCATACGCAATAATAATACATCATGCTTTTCATCTGTTGAAGTACTCATAATAACATCCTGAATGAGCGTGTATGACATGTGTACAACTGCCCAGAGATTAC